GTTCCCATTAACCTGTGAGTGTTGTTCAATCACAGTCCATACAGCTTCTACTTATTGAATCTCCCCATGTTCCTGTTGTTTTGGGATGTTCATGGCTCCAGAGGCACAACCCCCTGATTGACTGGACCACTGGTTCTATCCTGGGTTGGAGCCCGTTCTGCCACTCACATTGCCTTAAGGTGGCGCAGCCTGCCCCGGGACGTCCTCCTGCGGGCTCTGGAAAAGCCTTGGATTTCTCTGCCGTTCCCAAGGAGTACCAGGACCTCCTGGAGGTTTTCAGCAAGGCTTGCGCCACCTCCCTTACTCTGCATCGTCCCTACGATTGCGCTATTGACCTCCTCCTGGGCACCACACCGCTTCGTGGTGGCTATATTCATTGTCTGTCCCTGAGACCAAGGCCATGGAGGAGTACATTGAGGACTCTCTGGCTGCTGGGAGCATTCGTCCTTCTGCCTCCCCTGCCGGCGCAGGTTTCTTCTTTGTGGAAAAGAAGGACTAGACCCTGCGTCCATGTATCGACTACCGGGGGCCTCAATGACATCACTGTTAAGAATCATTACCCTCTACCACTCCTCTCCTCGGCTTTCGAACCTCTCCAGGGGGCTACCATATTTTCTAAGTTGGACCTTCGGAACGCCTACCACCTAGTTCGGCTATGGGAAGGAGATGAGTGGAAGCCAGCCTTCAACACGGCTAACGGGCACTACCTATTCATGCCGTTTGGACTCACCAACGCTCCCGCAGTGTTCCAGGCCCTGGTCAATGATGTGCTCCGTGACATGTTGAATCGGTTTGTTTGTCTACCTGGATGACATCCTTGTTTTCTCCCGTTCTGCTCAAGAGCATGTCCTCCATGTCCGCCAAGTCCTTCAGCACCTCCTGGAGAACCAGTTGTTTGTGAAAGTAGAGAAGTGTGAATTCCATCGCTCCACTATCTCTTTTCTGGGATACGTCATCACTGAAAGGAACGTTCAGATGGATCCCGACAAGGTGAGAGCGGTGGTGGATTGGCCCCAACCCACCTCTAGAGTGCAGCTGCAAAGTTTTCTGGGATTTTCACATTTCTACCGCCGCTTCATTCGGGGCTACAGCACCCTGGCTTCTCCCCTCTCTGCACTCACCCCTCCTAAGTTGCCGTTCACATGGTCCCCAGCTGCTGACAGGGCATTTTTTGATCTTAAGCATCGTTTCACCACAGCCCCATCCTCATCCATCCGGACCCGTCCCATCAGTTCATGGTGGAGGTTGACACCTCGGACGTTGGAGTGGGGGCCGTTCTGTCCCAACGTTCGGCCCAGCAACAACATTTGCACCCCTGCGCTTTCCTCTCTCATTGCCTGAATTCCGCTGAGCGGAACTATAATGTTGGTAATCGGGAACTTCTTGCGGTCAAGATGGTGCTGGAGGAGTGGAGGCACTGGCTTGAAGGCGCAGAACACCCATTATTGGTTTGGACCAACCATAAAAATCTTGAATATCTCCGCACCGCCAAATGCCTCAACAGCAGACAAGCTCGTTGGGCTCTGTTATTCACTCGGTTTAACTTCACCATCGCCTGCCACCCTGGGTCCAAGAATGTTAAGCTTGATGCTCTCTCTCTAGTCTGTATAGTTCTGCGGCTACACCATCAGACCCTGAGACCATCCTCCCTACCTCCTGTCTTGCTGCTACACTTGTCTGGGGAATCAAGAGCCTGGTCCATAAGGGGGGGGCCCGGCTAACCAGATGTTCGTCCCTGATTTGGCCCGCTCCCCGGTCCTGGAAGGGGCCCATTCCTCAAAGCTTACCTGTCATCCCGGCTCCCGCCGGACCCTGGCTTTCATCCGACAATGTTTTTGGTGGCCCACTATGGTTTCTGACGTCTCCACATTCGTCGCCGCCTGCACTGTGTGCGCTCAGAACAAGACTCAGTGGCAAGCTCCAGCTGGCCTCCTTCAACCACTCCCTGTGCCTCATCGCCCCTGGTCCCATATATCCCTGGATTTTGTCACTTGTCTCCCTCCGTCTGATGGCAACACCACCATCCTTACAGTGGTGGATAGGTTTCTAAAGCCGCCCATTTCATTCCCCTCCCTAAGTTACCTTCAGCCAAGGAGACGGCCCAGCTCATGGTGCAGCATGTCTTCCGAATCCATGGACTTCCGGTCGACATGGTCTCCGATCGTGGTTCTCGTCCCGATTCTGGAAGGCGTTCTGCACCCTCATTGGGTCGTCGGCCAGCCTTTCATCCTCAGTCCAACGGGCAGTCGGAGCGTGCCAATCAGGACCTGGAGACGACTCTTCGGTGCCTCGTCTCGGCCAACCCACCACCTACAGCCAGCAACTCATGTGGGTGGAGTACGCACGGAACACCTACCCTGCTCGGCCACTGGGCTCTCGCCTTTTGAGTGTTCCCTGGGTTACCAGCCTCCGCTCTTCCCAGAGCAAGAGGAAGAGGTCCGCATCCCCTCAGCCCAGATGTTCGTCCGTCGCTGTCGGCGTACCTGGAAGAGAGCCCGGTCCGCTCTTCTTTAGACCACCTCCAGGTATCGGCGACAGGCGGACCGCCACCGGACCCCGGCTCCCCGCTATCGTCTCGGGCAAAGGGTATGGCTCTCTATTCGGAATCTGTCCCTCAGAGTGGAATCCCGTAAACTTCCCCACCGCTTTATCGGCCCTTTTCCCATCTCTAAAATCCTTAGTCCCACTGCTGTTTGTCTTCTGTTGCCCCGCACCCTCTGTATACATCCCACTTTTCATGTGTCTAAGATTAAACCTTTGTCTCACAGCCCTTTGTCTCCTGTTTCCAGACTTTTACTCAAGTAGTATTTTACTGGGTGACTTTCACTTTTATTTGAGTAATTTTCTATTAAGAAATCTTTACTTTTACTCAAGTATGACAATTTGATACTTTTTCCACCACTGATTACTGCTGTCTGTGCAGGCCCAGAGGACAACACAGGGAAAGGTCAAATAACATCATTACACTAACATGTGTTGATATCTATGAGGTGTACAGCTAGTACAAGGTTTAATTTCATTTGAAAAATCTATAAGCTATAATCAAAGGTTCAATTTAATTATATAATAAATATTGAGATAATTAGTCATAGTTTACTTACATAATTGTTATCGATTGTTTAATCTCTCCGAGAGAAACAAAATCAGTCATTAATCTCAATTAATGTTAGCCTAATAATGTGATATTTAAAAAGTTGTAGTAAAGGTATTCAGGATCCCGCCACAATTAAATCTAGCTTTAGCCTTCTCTCTGTGTGTGAAAGGGGGAGGAACGGTGACTCCCATCATTATGTTCGTGAGCTCTCTTCACTCTTCTATTATCTGCTGCGGGACTCCCCGTTCCTCCCCCTTTCACTTCCTCCGCTCCCCCGACCTGCTCGAAGGTAAACGACGGTCCCTAGTACTCAAACTTTCTTTGCCACCGCATCGCCTCAAGTCAAAGGATGGCAGCATTTCTGAAATCCCTTCGGAATCTGAAGAATGAGATTGTTCTATTCTCTACCCCGTTACTTCTTCTCCCGCTGCCTTTAGTCATTGGAACGAAGGTATGTAAATTGTCACGTTTTGCACAGATTTAAACACACGTTTTTATATTGAAAATATATTGTATGTACAGTAAGCGGGTTTTATATTGTTGTTTAAATGATATTGTTTATTTGGTTAAATGCAAAAGGAGTTGGTAATTTCGGACTACTTTTCTGTATTATAATGATGTTTGTATAGTTATATTTATCATAAACCTTCAATTAGACACTGTACTGAAGCAGGTCTAACTGCAATATGTGGTTGAGAGTCATTGCATAGGTTTTGTTCAGCCTTGCACCTGTTGATGCAGCCTAAACAGTGAGTTGCAGCATTTAACCATTTTCTTAAAAATATATATATATTTAGCAGACACTCTTAACCAGAGCAACTTACAGGATCAATTAGGATTGAGTGCCTTGCTCAAGGGCACATTGACAGATTTTTCACCTAGTCAGCTCGGGGATTTAAACCGAATGTTACTGGTCCAACACTCCTAACCACTAGGCTACTTGCCACCCATCATCCCTGATCCTCAAGGCTGTCTCAAAGACAGTAGCCTAATGCTGTTGTTTTAACCGTATATGGCATGTCATATCCAGAGTGGGAACACTAGTTACACTGAATCCTCCTGTCATAGGTTCTGTCCCAAATGGCATCCTTTTCACTATAGTGCACTACTTTTGACCAGAGCCCCTAGTCAAAAGTAGTGCACTACATAGGGAATAGGGTGCCATTTGGAACGTAGACTTCACATGCTGCCAAAGCTGAGACTTTGTCCTAGTGTTGCCTCCACTGCATCACACATGGGGCTATTAGCATGTTATATTTGTCTTATCCTTGGTGTAGTTTCAGTGTATCAGAATCATTACTAACTATGTCATCACACCTAATCTGTCACACACACACACACACACATCATAGAGGACGGACTGCTGAGTGATGGTCTGAGTGGTGGTCTGATCAATGTACAGTTGAGTCTAACAGGTGCTGCAATACAGGATTACAACACAGTGATCTTTAACCCCAATCAACATATCTCAGTACCAATCAACTATAATCTCTCCCATTTATGATTATATAATGTGACTTTCCCTAACAACAGTACAGATCTGCTATCTTAATTTGATCACTCTGTTGTCGCAGAGAATATTCATGAGCAGCAGGAAATGCAAATTGTAGTGTATTCAAGGCTTGAAAAGGCTTCTAAAGTGTATAATTTCCATTTTAAAATGTCAGACTTGATTTGCCCTAAAAAAAAATGTATCCACCCCTAATTTTTTTTCTCCATTTAATTATAATTCAGACAATAATTCACATTTCCTGTTGCTGCAGGATTATTTTCCTGCAGTGAGAAGCAAGGTCAAATTAAGATATTGCATCTGTATGAGCCAGCAGTATTCATTCCCAGGTGTTGTGGTGTGTTGGATGTTCTGACCTGTTGGTGACCTTTTGGATCCTATGTATTTGTTGTGCAGGAGGCAGCATGTGCCTATGTGATCATTCTGATGGCAGTGTACTGGTGTACAGAAGCCTTACCACTGGCTGTCACTGCCCTGCTTCCCGCTGTCCTCTTCCCCATGTTTGGCATCATGCAATCCAAAGACGTAAGACAGCCTCTATTGCAAGCCGTGAAGACATCTTTCAATAACATGATCAATGAAACTACTATAAAACTGTACTAATCAAACTGTACTATAGTAGCCTACTGATATTCAATATACTTCACGGTGGTGTCTGCACATTGTTTTAGTAGATACAGTATTGGTAGATGTTTGCATGTGCATACACAAATACACTGTGGACCCATGAGTCACTTGTCTGTGGGTGTCTTCCAGGTGTGTATGCAGTACCTGAAGGACACCAACATGCTGTTTGTGGGAGGACTGATGGTGGCGGTGGCAGTGGAGCACTGGAACCTGCACAAACGCATTGCCCTCCGAGTGCTGCTCTTTGTAGGGGTGCGCCCCGCTCTGTAAGTGACCCTCAACTAACTAACTAACTAACTAACTAACTAACTAACTAACTAACTAACTAACTAACTAACCCATCAATACAAATCCCCTGCTATGTTTGGGACTATATCAATCTCTAGATAAGGGAAATCAGTTAATCTTTATGACTATCTATATTGTATTGACCTTGCCATTATACATGTGGAAATATTACCTAACGTTTCACTCTCTCTGTGTCAGAGGGTATTCTGCCTTTTACTTGGTCTGATCCATCTCAGTAAAGCCCTTTGAGAGACTTTGACAATTTTATGCATACCCTCTTAGAAAAAAAGGTGCTATCTAGAACCTAAAAGGGTTATTCGGCTGTCCGCATAGGAGAATCCTTTAAAGAACCCTTTTTGGTTCTAGGTAGAACCCTTTTGGTTCCAGGTAGAACCCTTTTGAGTTCCATGTAGAACAATTTCCAGAGGGTTCTACATGGAACCCAACATAGTTCTAACTGGAACCAAAAAGGTTTCTAATTGGAACCAAAAAGGGGTCTCCTATGGGGACTGCCGAAGAACCCTTTTGGATCCCTTTTTTCTAAGATTGTAGATGAATATAACATTTTATAAACCTTGTTATAAGACCTTCTACAAGCTCATACGTGCTTATAACAAGTTATAAAGTATTAAACCTGTATGCTATGCTTTAAGTGAAGTGTTACATAATATTCGTATTCCACATTTCTTTGCTGAGGCCTGTGTTTCCTCCATATAGGTCCTGTAATTCCTATGATTCTCTATGTCTTCTATGGTTTCCTCAATTTCCAGTCTCATGCTGGGCTTCATGGGGGTGACAGCCTTCCTGTCCATGTGGATCAGTAACACAGCCACCACAGCCATGATGGTGCCCATCGTCCAGGCTGTTCTTGAGCAGCTCAACAACTACTCAGAGACTGAGATGCCTGTGATCCTCAGCACTGAGGAGGACACCCAGCCTCAGGACACCACTGACAGCAAACAAACAGAGAAACAGACAGAGGGACATGGTGAGCACTGAGCAGAGAAGGACAAATTAATGAACAGTTCATTTGTGAGTTTATTGAAAGGGGTTATTATCCATTGAATGAACTCGGGGACCATGTAAGCTTATTAGGGAGCATATGTATGAGCAGTGTGCATTGCAAATTAGTTTTCTTTGCTTTGAGATTATTTGGGCTATGTTAATGTTCCTATTTGGACTGTGTTTGTCCAGTTGTGGTGACCTGTTTAGACCCGTTTATGGAGGCAATCCGGCGTAAGGAGGCTGCAGACAAGAAGAAGATGTGTAAGGGCATGACGCTGTGTGTCTGCTACGCTGCCAGCATTGGGGGCACCGCCACCCTCACAGGGACTGGCCCCAACCTGGTGCTCAAGGGCCAGATGAACCAGTGGGTACCTTCAGCTATGGATTGTGTCCTCAGTGTATTTCAGTATCGTTCAAATCATATTTTTCTTTATGTGCTAATGTTAATAATATTTCATGTTTCCCTCAAGGCTGTTTCCTAACAATGGAGATGTCATCAATTTTGCGTCCTGGTTCGGCTTTGCTTTCCCCAACATGATCCTGATGCTGACCCTGGCTTGGCTCTGGCTGCAGTTTGTCTTCATGGGATTCAAGTGAGTTTCAGATTAAAAGAAGATGTTTTATCTTTCAGTCAGAGATCATCCTACTGAATTCAGTTTACTACTGAAGTCACCCTTTAAGCCTTAACCCCTTTCTCTTCCTCCATTCCCAGTTTTAAGAAGACGTGGGGCTGTGGGGCAGCGAAGACAGAGAAAGAGATAGCTGTGTATAATGTGATCAAGGAGCAGCATCGTCAGCTGGGCTCCATGTCTTTTGGAGAGCTGAGTGTGCTGGGTCTGTTCAGTTGTCTTGTGGTTCTGTGGTTCACCAGAGATCCTGGCTTCGTGGCAGGCTGGGCCACATACATCTTCAACGCTGATGCAGAGTACGGCCCTCTACTGTTTATAAATACTACACTGTACATGCACAGCATATTACACAGGCCTAGTATGCTTTCCAAATGGCATCCTATTCCCTTTATAGTGCACTGCTTTGGACCAGGGCCCATTTAGCTCTGGTCTAAAGTAGTGGGCCATAAAGGGAAAAGGGTGCCATTTGAGACGCAACCCTATTAGGGAAAAGGGTGCCATTTGAGACGCAACCCTAATCAATACAAAGAAGACATGAGACTGTTACAAAAACATTAGATTGACACTATATATACAAAAGTATGTGGCACCCCTTCAAATTAGTGGATTCGGCTATTTCAGCCACACCCGTTGCTGACAAGTGTATTAAATCAAGAACACATCCATTGAATCTCCATAGATAAACATTGGCAGTAGAATGGCCATACTGAAGAGCACAATGACTTTCAACGTGGCACTGTCATAGGATGCCACCTTTCCAACAAGTCAGTTCGTCAAATTTCTGCCCTGCCAGAGCTGCCCCGGTCAACTGTAAGTGCTGTTATTGTGAAGTGGAAACGTCTAGGAGCAATATCGGATCAGCTGCGAAGTGGTAGGCCACACAAGCTCACAGAACGGGACCGCCGAGTGCTGAAGTGTGTAGCGCGTAAAAATTGTCTGTCCTCGGTTGCAACACTCACTACCGAGTTCCAAACTGCCTCTGGAAGCAACGTCAGCACAATAACTGTTAATTGGGAGCTTCATGAAATGTGCTTCCATGGCCGAGCAGCCGCACACAAGCATAAGATCACCATGCGCAATGGCAAGCGTAGGCTAGAGTGGTGTAAAGCTTGCTGCCATTGGACTCTGGAGCAGTGGAAACGCGTTCTCTGGAGTGATGAATCACGCTTCACCATCTGGCAGTCCGACGGACTAATCTGGGTTTGGCGGATGCCAGGAGAACGCTACCTGCTCCAATGCATAGTGCCAACTGTAACGTTTGGTGAAAGAGGAATAATGGTCTGGGGCTGTTTTTCATGGTTCGGGCTAGACCCCTTATTTTCCAGTGAAGGTAAATCTTAACGCTATAGCATACAATTACATTGTAGACGATTCTGTGCTTCCAAATTTGTGGCAACAGTTTGGGGAAGGCCCTTTCTTGTTTCAGCATGACAATGCCCCCGTGCACAAAGCGAGGTCCGTACAGAAATGGTTTGTCATGATCGGTGTGGAAGAACTTGACTGGCCTGCACAGGGCCCTGACCTCAACCCCATCAAACACCTTTGGGATGAATTAGAACGCTGACTGCGAGCCAGGCCTAATCACCCAACATCAGTGCCCGACCTCACTAATGCTCTTGTGGCTGAATGGAAGCAAATCCCCGCAGCAATGCTCCAACATCTAGTGGAAAGCCTTCCCAGAAGAGTGGAGGTTGTTATAGCAGCAAAGGGGGGACCAACTCCATATTAATGCCTATGATTTTGGAATGAGATGTTCAGATGTCCACATACTTTTGGTCATGTAGTGTATCTCACTTCCCACATACTTCAACACTTCACAAGAAAAAATAAGCAAGAAAACATCAATTGTGTGTCTGAATGTTGAAAGATAGGGTGACTATCTTTATCCGTTCTTCCCTCCAGGTATGTAACTGATGCCACAGTGGCATTGTTCATCGCTGTCCTTCTCTTTGTCCTGCCTTCCAAGGCCCCACGCTTCTGCTGCAGGAGGTCCCAAAGCTTTGACACTGGTAAACCATGTTTAGTACCTGATCTTGAGTATGCTACTTTAGTATCTAAGGATATGAAGACTTGAAGACCATTACAATGGCATGTCTGTAACAGTGATTTGTTAACCCCTCTACAGAGCACCAGCACCTGGCTGGCCCCACACCAGCTCTGCTTACCTGGAAGGTGGCCCAGAAGAAGTTACCCTGGAGCATCGTTCTCCTCTTGGGGGGAGGGTTCGCCCTGGCGAAGGGCAGCGAGGTGAGAGACAGGGCCTGTATGTACATACAGATGTAGGATTACCTTGTTACAGGAGAACTTTCCTGACATGCAGGAAATGTAAAACATGCAGTGTATTTGAGGTTTTAAAAGGCTTCTGAAGTTTGTACGAAAAATGTATCAACCCCTACAAAAAGTATTATTTCTCTGCTGTAGCAAACTGGCTCAAATTAAGATTCTATATCTGTACAGTGTAATCATTGGTTGATTTCCACAGAAACATTTTAACCAAAACAGTCAGATTCCCACTGAGAACTGAATCATCCCACATTTCATCAGGATCTTTGTGACAAATTTACATTTTTGATTTGTCAACACAGCTCCACCCTGTTCACTTCCCAAGTACGATCACACATATGGCATATCATGTGGGATCACACTGGTGACATATCAGCTGCTTACTTAGTCATGTCAGTGGAAATTAGTACACTAAAATCCACCTTTCTGTCTTTGCATACTGTACACAGTATGTACAGGTAACTGCCAAAATAAAGGAAAATGAAATACCAACATAAAGTGTCTTAATAGGGCGTTGGGCCACCACGAGCACAATGCACATTGGCATAGTTTCTACAAGTGTCTAGAACTCTATTGGTGGGATGCGACACCATTCTTCCATGAGAAATTCCATAATTTGGTGTTTTGTTGATGGTGGTGGAAAACACTGTCTATGGCGCCGCTCCAGAATCTCCCATATGTGTTCAATTGGGTTGAGATCTGGTGACTAGACACACACACACACACACACACACACACACACACACACAAATACACACACACACACACACAAATACAAATACACACACACACACACACACACTTTGAACCCCGTATGCTCCTTTGAGACCCCTCTTTCAAAGTCACAGATCTCTTCTTCTAACCATGGTAGCCATAATAATGGGCAACTGGGCATTTTTATACATGACCCTAAGCATGATGGAATGTTAATTGCTTGTTTAACTCAGGAACCAAACCTGTGTGGAAGCACCTGCTTTCAACATACTTTATATCCCTCATTTACTCAAATGTTTCCTTTATTTTGGCAGTTGCCTGTACATCTGTAGATGTACAGTACCAGTCAAAAATATGGACACACCTACTCATTCAAGGGTTTTTCTTTATTTTTACTATTTACTACATTGTAGAATAATAGTGAAGACATCAAAACTATGAAATAACACATATGGAATCATGTAGTAACCAAAAAATTGTTCAACAAATCAAAATATATTTGATATTTTAGATTCTTCAAAGTAGCCACCCTTTGCCTTGATGAAAGCTTTGCACACTCTTGGCATTCTCTCAACCTGCTTCATGAGGTAGTCACCTGGAATGCATTTCAATTAACAGGTGTGCCTTGTTAAAAGTTAATTTGTGGAATGTCTTTCCTTCTTAATGCGTTTGAGCCAATCAGTTGTGTTGTGACAAGGTAGGGGGGGTATACAGATGATAGCCCTATTTGGTAAAAGACCAAGTCCATATTATGGCAAGAACAGCTCAAATAAGCAAAGAGAAACGACAGTCCATCATTACTTTAAGACATGAAGGTCAGTCAATACGGAACATTTCAAGATTTTGAACGTTTCTTCAAGTGCAGTCGCAAAAACCATCAAGCGCTATGATGAAACTGGCTCTCATGAGGACCGCCACAGAAATGGAAGACCCAGAGTTACCTCTGCTGCAGAGGATAAGTTCATTAGAGTTACCAGCCTCAGAAATTGCAGGCCAAATAAATGCTTCACAGAGTTCAAGTAACAGACACATCTCAACATCAACTGTTCAGAGGGGACTGTGTGAATCAGGCCATCATGGTTGAATTGCTGCAAAGAAACCACTACTAAAGGACACCAATAATAAGAAGAGACCTGCTTGGGCTAAGAAATACGAGCAATGGACATTAGACCGGTGGAAATGTGTCCTTTGGTCTGGAGTCCAAATTGGAGATTTCTGGTTCCAACCACTGTGTCTTTGTGAGACGCAGAGTAGGTGAACGGATGATCTCTGCATGTGTGGTTCCCACCATGAAGCATGGAGGAGGAGGTGTGATGGTGTGGGGGTTGCTTTGCTGGTGACACTGTCAGTAATTTATTTAGAATTCAAGGTACACTTAACCAGCATGGCTACCACAGCATTCTGCAGCGATACGCCATCCCATCTGGTTTGGCTTAGTGGGACTATCATTTGTTTTTCAACAGGACAATAACCCAAAACACACCTCCAGGCTGTGTAAGGGCTATTTGACCAAGAAGGAGAGTGATGGAGGGCTGCATCAGATGACCTGGCCTCCACAATCACCCGACCTCAACCCAATTGAGATGGTTTGGGATGAGTTGGACCACAGAGTGAAGGAAAATCAGCCAACAAGTGCTCAGCATATGTGGGAATTCCTTCAAGACTGTTGGAAAAGCATTCCTCATGAAGCTGGTTGAGAGAATGCCAAGAGTGTGCAAAGCTGTCATCAAGGCAAAGGGTGGCTACTTTGAAGAATCTAAAATATCAAATATATTGTGATTTGTTTAACACTTTTTTGGTTACTACATGATTCCATATGTGTTATTTAATAGTTTTGATGTCTTCACTATTATTCTACAATGTAGAAAATAGCAAAAATAAAGAAAAACCCTGGAATGAGTAGGTGTGTCCAAACTTTTGACTGGTACTGTATATGGATCTGGTAATGTATCCGACACCATAAGAAGAGTGTCATGGTTGTTTGAGACTGATTGTGTGGTTATGGTTATGTATGTGCCCCTGTAGGAGTCAGGTCTGTCTAAGTGGATGGGGGACCAGATGACTCCCCTCCACACCATCCCACCCTGGGCCATCGCTATCATCCTGTGTCTGCTGATCGCCATCTTCACAGAGTGCACCAGTAACGTAGCCACTGCCACTCTCTTCCTACCTGTCCTCGCCTCAATGGTAAGACTCAACACACAGCTCTGTAATAATAACACAATACTAGGCCCTACTACACAATACTACACTACTACACACCACTACAATACTACACAATACTACAATACTACACAATACTACAATACGACACTATGCTACACTACTACACTACAGTATTACACAACTGGAAGCAGGAATACAATAGCTGTCCAGTCTGGTAAACTGCTCTGACACTCAGACGTGTACAGTACATGCAGAAGCAGTAGTAGACTACTTGCAATGGGCTGCAACACTGTAGCTCCTTGATGTGAAGTACAGTACTTACCAATCTCCCCTATAGGAGTGCAGCATGGAAACTACTACCAGTGGAAGCTGGGCTACATGTCCTTGTTTGGCTGCACTGGCCTGTAGTTGTTAGACAATACATTTGGTCCCCTTACCTGGGCTCTTCCTTCTATAGCCACCCTGCCAAACACACCAATTGAGCTTCGTGGCTTGTCCTGGTGCCCACCCCCATCCACACTGACGAATGGTATCACTGTGCCCAGTGCCCAAGCACTCAGAGAGGACCCAAGCTGGGCAATGCCGGAATGTGCCAAGCTGAGGTATAGAGAGAGGGATTTATTGAGGTCAAAGCCAACAGGAGTGCATGAAGATGACATAAGTGTAGAAAAGGGTGAGTGAAAGAGGGAGAATGATACTGTAGGAAGAAAAATGGGGTTAGTGAACCAACTACTACTTACAGGGAAGTCTGGGAAAGAGAGGCTGCTAGGACGTGTGCTTTTGTTTCTAGCTGCTTGAATCCAACTAAATGATATAACATCCATTATATCCGTTGTGGAAGAGCATGACAGAGGGATGAGAATTCTGACATGAAAGATAATCTCAGCCAGTATTCATTTTCAAACTAATTACTGTCGTGTGAATTCTTTTGGGAGACTAAACAACTCTTCAGAGGCTTACATTTTAATCTTTGTTCTGCTATTACATTGTGGTTCTACACCGTTCTCGAGACATCTGTGGTGCGTTTCCATTTTGCCTGCCATGACTCAGACCCCAAACAACATAGCATGCATAAGAATTACATCTTAATTGCACACGCCTAATGGACGATTCTGAACCCTAGAATTACAAATACTAAAATCAGAGTTATGAGCAAGTAATTACGGTGCAGAAAAGCATCAGAGCAGACTAGAGTGTTGTCATTAGGTATGCGTCCCAAATGGAACCCTATTCCCTATATAGTGCACTACTTTTGACTAGGGTGCATGGCCTCTGGTCAAAAGTAGTGCACTATGTAGGGAAAAGGGTGCCATTTGGGACTCACTCTAGGAGTCTCCTCCTTAGCCCAGGCTCAGACAGCTGAAGATGTGTGTCTGTGTGTTTATTTCAGTCCCAGTCCATTGGAATGAATCCTCTGTACGTCATGGTGCCTTGTACTCTCAGTGCGTCCTTTGCCTTCATGCTACCTGTGGCCACACCGCCCAATGCTATCGTCTTCTCATTTGGCTACCTCAAGGTTTCTGACATGGTGAGTTACAGTACACCATTTTACAAAGTGAATAATATCTACTGCATTGTCAATCTTATTATTAATTAACAAAAATAAATAATAACAAAAAATCCTCATCAATTTAGGAAACGTCTTATAGTGCCATTTACTAATAATTTGGTGACAGTCCTATAGCTAATTTGATTGCCTTTTTTCAGTATCAATGATTGCTAACAGACCCTGAAATCACACCCAGTTGTACCTCCCCTCTCTCTCTCTCCCAGGCTAGGACAGGTATAGTGATGAACATCATCGGTATCCTGTGCATTACTCTGGCCATCAATAGCTGGGGCAGGGCCATGTTCCACCTAGACACCTTCCCTACCTGGGCCAACACTACTGGGGTGTGAGGACCTCGAGCGGCCCCGGGCCAGGCCATGGGGAACACATGGAGGGCACCTTATGTGCTAGGGATCTCTGGAGAGAAGAATGATGAAGGGTGAAAGTAGCACTACTCTACTTTTAATTCTGTAATGTGTTATACAAAGTATGTCCAGTCCCATTCAAAATGCCCAAGTATTATCTCTATCAAATGAACATGTTCTCAACTTCTCACTCTCAGGCGTAGGTTCTGACTCATATTTATTGGTCGGTTTATATCTCAAGACTCAGAGTTGCTTAAAATCCATTTGTGATTTAAGGTTTTTGCTAAACTGTTCATTTGCACAAAATAGCTTCTGAACTACACTACATGACCAAAAGTATGTGAACACCTGCTTGTCGAACATCTCATCCCAAAATCATGGGCATTAATATGGAGTTGGTCCCCCCTTTGCTGCTATAACAGCCTCCACTTGTCTGGGAAGGCTTTCCACTAGATGTTGGAACATTGCTGCGAGGACTTGCTTCCATTCAGCCACAAGAACATTAGTGAGGTCGGGCACTGATGTTGGGCGATTAGGCCTGGCTCGGAGTAGGCGTTCCAATTCATCCCAAAGGTGTTCGATGGGGTTGAGGTCAGGGCTTTGTGCAGGCCAGTCAAGTTCTTCAACACCGATCTAGACAAACCATTACTGTATGGACCTCGATTTGTGCATGGGGGCATTGTCATGCTGAAACAGGAAAGGTCCTTCCCCAAACTGTTGCCACAAAGTTGGAAGCACATAATTGCATGTATGCTATAGGGTTAAGATTTCCCTTCACTGGAGCTAAGGGGGCTAGCCCAAACCATGAAAAACAGCCCCAGACCATTATTCCTCCTCCACCAAACTTTACAGTTGGCACTATGCATTCGGGCAGGTAGCGTTCTCCTGGCAATGGCCAAACCCAGATTTATCCGTCACTCCAGAGAATGCGTTTCCACTGCTCCAGAGTCCAATGGCGGTGAGCTTTACACCACTCCAGCCAACGCTTGTCATTGCGCATGGTGATCTTAGGTTTGTGTGCGGCTGCTCAGCCATGGAAACACATTTCATTAAGCTCCCGACGAACAGTTATTGTGCTGACGTTTGGTTCTAGAGGCAGTTTGGAACTCAGTAGTGAGTGTTGCAACCGAGGACAGATCATTTTTACGCGCTTCAGCACTCGGCGGTCCCATTCTGTGAGCTTGTGTGGCCTACCACTTCGCGGCTGAGCAGTTGTTGCTCCTAGACGTTTCCACTTCAGAATAACAGCGCTTACGGTTGACCGGGGAAGCTCTAGCAGGACAGAAATTTGACGAACTGACTTGTTGGAAAGGTGGCATCCTATGACGGTGCCACGTTGAAAGCCACTGAGCTCTTCAGTAAGGCCATTCTACTGCCAATGTTTATCTATGGAAATTGCATGGCTGTGTGCTCGATTTTATACACCTGTCAGCAACAGGTGTGGCTGAAATAGCCGAATCCACTAATTTGAAGGACTGTCCACATACTTTTGTATATATAGTGTATGTTTCCATGACCAAACAATGTATGTCATCTTCTGTTTTTGCTAATCTATAGTCTTAGTCTTAGATTAACTTGTTTTGATTTTGCTAGTACTCAATGGTGAAACGTGGTGCATTGTACTTGAACTTTGAATACTGTATGACTGTACAACTAAACTTTAACCATTGGGGCTGGAAAATGTAAACATATTGAAAACTCAGATATGTGAAAATACTGTACAGTGGTTATTTACTGTGTGCTGACGTGTTGATGTTTCTACTTTGTTATATAATATAATTATTATAATATATCCGACACCATAAGAAGAGTATAAAATAATAATATGTAATTCAATATTTTTTTTATTGAATTATTGTAATATTATCTTGATCAAAGTTGAATATTTATGAGATGTAATATAGTTTATAGTGTATTGTAAATGGTGTTTGCTACTGCACACTCTGAAATGGCCAAAATGTCAAAGGAAATGTCTGGGCTGCTTGCATGTACAGTCAGAGATGGGCAAAAATTACAAGATACAATTACAAAATACCATAAAGGTCAATGTATCAAAATAAACTACAAAATAATGGTATTTTGAAATGTATTTAATTAAAATACATGTATTTTATATTTTACAATACAGAAATAAATATGCAGGTAGCCGGCCCGAACAGCAACAACATTCTTAGTAACGGTTACAGAAATGTTTTATTTGCTATGACTGTGATATGTTGTTGTTTATCTTAGATGAATGCACTGACTGTATACACTACCAGTCAAAAGTTTGGACACACCTATTCATTCAAGGGGTTTTCTTTATTTTTACAATTTCTTACATTGTAGAATAATAGTGAAGACATCAAAACTATGAAATAACACAATGGAATCATGTAGTAACCAAAACAGTGTTAAACTTTTCAAAATATGTTTTATATTTGAGATTCTTCAAATAGCCACCCTTTGCCTTGATGACAGCTTTGCACACTCTTGGCATTCTCTCAACCAGCTTCATGAGGTAGTCACCTGGAATGCATTTCAATTAACAGGTGTGCCTTGTTAAAAGTTAATTTGTGGAATGTCTTTCCTTCTTAATGCGTTTGAGCCAATCAGTTGTGTTGTGACAAGGTAGGGGGGGTATACAGATGATAGCCCTATTTGGTAAAAGACCAAGTCCATATTATGGCAAGAACAGCTCAAATAAGCAAAGAGAAACGACAGTCCATCATTACTTTAAGACATGAAGGTCAGTCAATACGGAACATTTCAAGAACTTTGAACGTTTCTTCAAGTGCAGTCGCAAAAACCATCAAGCGCTATGATGAAACTGGCTCTCATGAGGACCGCCACAGAAATGGAAGACCCAGAGTTACCTCTGCTGCAGAGGATAAGTTCATTAGAGTTACCAGCCTCAGAAATTGCAGGCCAAATAAATGCTTCACAGAGTTCAAGTAACAGACACATCTCTATATCAACTGTTCAGAGGGGACTGTGTGAATCAGGCCATCATGGTCGAATTGCTGCAAAGAAACCACTACTAAAGGACACCAATAATAAGAAGAGACCTGCTTGGGCTAAGAAAGACGAGCAATGGACATTAGATCGGTGGAAATGTGTCGTTTGGTCTGGAGTCCAAATTGGATATTGTTATCGGCCTTGTTTCAGGGTCATGTCTAGATGGGATACAGCTTAACCTAATTCTCCTAACCTGCTACGAAAAGTCAGTTCATTTAGTTCATTTAGTAGACGCTTTTATCACACCAAATTGCTATCAGACTTCTGATACCAATGCAAGGTGAAAGGGAGCCACAAAATGGTGAACCGCTATAAAAAAAGAAAATACAAATTACAGCTCTTGAAAGTATCTTGTTACAAAATACATTGGAGTGTAGTTCAGCCCATTGTAATACAAATTACAAAATACATTTCTGTGTACAGTGCTTTATAAGTTCATGCAATCATGTACACAGATTTCACTGGTTTGATACACTGTTACAAACTGATTGTGTGAAATAAATACATCTAAGAGGAAAATAAAATGGCCAAATATGTATTTTTTATTCATAATTACATTTACATTTACATTTACGTCATTTAGCAGACGCTCTTATCCAGAGCGACTTACAAATTGGTGCATTCAACTTATGATAGCCAGTGGGACAACCACTTTTCTTTTTTATGGGGGGGAGGGGGGGTGTAGAAGGATTACTGTTATACTATTCAAGGTATTCCTTAAAGAGGTAGGGTTTCAAGTGTCTCCGGAAGGTGGTCAGTGACTCCGCTGTCCTGGCGTCGTGGGGGAGCTTGTTCCACCATTGGGGTGCCTGAGCAGCGAATAGCTTTGACTGGGCTGAGCGGGAACTGTGCTTCCGTAGAAGTAGGGGGGCTAGCAGGCCAGAGGTGGATGAACCTAGTGCCCTCATTTGGGTGTAGGGTCTGATCAGAGCCTGAAGGTAAGGAGGTGCCGTTCCCCTCACAGCTCCGTAGGCAAGCACCATGGTCTTGTAGTAGATGCGAGCCTCAACTGGAAGCCAGTGGAGTGTGCGGAGGAGCGGGGTGACATGAGAGAACTTGGGAAGGTTGAACACCAGACGGGCTGCAGCGTTCTGGATAAGTTGTAGGGGTTTAATGGCACAGGCAGGGAGCCCAGCCAACAGCGAGTTGCAGTAATCCAGACGGGAGATGACAAGTGCCTGGATTAGGACCTGTGCCGCTTTCTGTGTAAGGTAGGGTCGTACTCTGCGAATGTTGTAGAGCATGAACCTGCAGGATTGGGTCACCGCTTTGATGTTAGTGGAGAACGACAGGGTGTTGTCCAGGGTCACGCCAAGGTTCTTTGCACTCTGGGAGGAGGACACAATGGAGTTGCCCGGGAGGAAGAGCAGCTCTGTCTTGCCGAGGTTCAGCTTGAGGCAGTGATCCGACATCCACACTGATATGTCTGCCAGACATGCAGAGATGCGATTCACTACCTGGTTTTCAGAAGGGGGAAAGGAGAAAATTAGTTGTGTGTTGTCTGTGTAGCAATGATAGGAGAGACCATGTGAGGATATGACAGTGCCAAGTGACTTGGTGTATAGAGAGAATAGGAGAGGGCCTAGAACTGAGCCCTGGGGGATACCAGTGGTGAGAGCACGTGGTGTGGAGACAGATTCTCGCCACGCCACCTGGTAGGAGCGACCTGTCAGGTAGGACGCAATCCAAGAGTGAGCAGCGCCGGAGATGCCCAACTCGGAGAGGGTGGAGAGGAGGATCTGATGGTTCACAGTATCAAAGGCAGCAGATAGGTCTAGAATGATAAGAGCAGAGGAGAGAGAGTTAGCTTTAGCAGTGCGGAGAGCCTCCGTGACACAGACAAGAGCAGTCTCAGTTGAATGACCAGTCTTGAAACCTGACTGGTTTGGATCAAAAAGCTCATTCTGAGAGAGATAGCAGGAGAGTTGGCTAGAGACGGCACGCTCAAGAGTTTTGGAGAGAAAAGAAAGAAGGGATACTGGTCTGTAGTTGTTGTGTAGGTTTTTTGAGGAGGGGTGCAACTCTCGCTCTCTTGAAGACGGAAGGGACATGGCCAGTGGTCAAGGATGAGTTGATGAGCGAGGTGAGGTAAGGGAGAAGGTCTCCGGAAATGGTCTGGAGAAGAGAGGAGGGGATAGGGTCAAGCGGGCAGGTTGTTGTGCGGCCGGCCGTCACAAGTCGCAAGATATCATCTGGAGAGAGAGGGGAGAAAGAAGTCAAAGCATAGGGTAGAGCAGTGTGAGCAGGACCAGCGGTGTCATTTGAATTAATACATGAGGATCGGATGTCGTCAACCTTCTTTTCAAAATGGTTGACGAAGTCATCCACAGAGAGGGAGGAGG